CAAAAAAACACAAGGCCCTGCAAACCCCACTAAGCCCCTCTCCAACCTCACCGCTCTGAATCTCTAGCCATAGGCCTCATGGTAGTTCCTTTTGGGGAATACCTAATAGGATTCTAAACATGAACCCTAAACCCTAAACCCTAAACCCGAAAGGAACTACTATGGGGCCTATGGGTAGCCAAGGTTGAATGCCAGGCGACGCTCTGCGCGCGGTACATGTAGAAACTCATGCCTTGGTCTCTGTTGGGTCTAGGGTTTAGGGTTTAGGGTTTAGGGTTTAGGGTTTTGAGAACTTAAATTTAGGGTTTAGGGCTTAGGGATTTAAGGCTTTAGGGTTTAGGGTCTAGGGATGTTAAGAATTGAAATTTAGGGTTTAGGGTTTAGGGATTAGGGATGTAAGGGTTTAAATTTAGGGTTTCGGATTTAGGGTTTAGGGATTTAAAGGTTTAAATTTCGGGTTTAGGGTTTAGGGATTTAAGGGTTTAAATTTCGGGTTTAGGGTTTAGCGTTTAGGGATTTCGGGGTTTAAATTCAGGGTTTAGGGTTTAGGGATTTAAGGGTTTAAATTTAGGGTTTAGGGTTTAGGGATTTAAGGGTTTAAATTTAGGGTTTAGGGTTTAGGGTCACCTATGGTCTCCGTTGTAGTTCCTTTGCCGGATCCCTTTTAGATTGGTCAAGCCGAAAATGGCACTACAAATGAGACTCTAGGTAGACATTGAATTTTCGATGAAGGTTTGGGGTTTAGGGGGTTAGAGTGTTAGGGGTTCCTGGGTTTACGTTTTACGGAGTAGTACGGTTCAAGGGCTTACAGGATTCGAAGTTCAGCAGTTTAGGTTGCGAGAAGGGGATTTGGAGCTGAGTGTTTAGGGTCAAGCCCGGGTTCCCCATGTAGTGCCTTTTTCTTGGTGACCTCAGTTTTCTTATCATAGGACCCTAATCCCCAGATCCCTAGACCCTAAACCCTAACAAAAGGCTACTCTAAAGGCTCCCAGTCTGCCAGGTTGTTCTCTGGGCTTCTCGGTACATCTTGCAGATTCAGTGTCGCTGCTTCGGGGCAAGAAGGGTTCCGTGTTTGTTTCTTCGTCATCACGTTCGTGGAATCTTGAACGTACCATAGACTGCCAGGTACCCATGCATGATGCGGGTAGCCTCAAAATGACAGGGTGACGGCTGAAAGGCCTGCTTACACGGGGTGTAATCGGGATTGTAAGGGCGGTTGCACAAATTGCATCGGGTTGTCTGGAGGGTCCTAGCGTTCGGCTTGTTTCAAGGGTTCCGGGTTCGAAGTAGCGTTGCAACAGGTTGCCTTAGAATTTAGTGTTCAGGACTTCGAATTTGTACCCGATGAACGAAGAGGCCTCTTCCTGAAATAACATGAACCAAAAGAAGACTGACTTTCCTGGAGTCGCTTCTTCTGCGGTTCAAGAGGGTCCTTTCTGATCTAACTTCCTCTCCCTAAACCCTTTTACCCTAAACCCTGTAGACCTAAAACCCTAAAGCCCTAAACCCTAAAATCCTGAAAGCCTGAACCTTCATCCATGAACCCTTTCTGCACACCTCTTGTCAAACCACCGTTTCAGACAAGGCACGCTTGGCGTCTGTCGCCAGCTTACAATCGCCGGAGGCTTCCTGGTCCTGGTGTAGGGCTTGCAGTGTTTCTCTCTTTTCGCCTATAAGCCAACTTGGGGTTCTAGGTTCTGGGCTTATGGTCTTCAAAGTGCCTGACACTATGAAGCTGCAATTTTCCACTATAGCGGCGTTGCAAGGAAGTCTGACCCCGCAAACACCGAAACCATCCTGGAGTGGTATATGAGAACTTCAACTTCTCTGCATACTGAACCCTGAAGCACGAAGACAGTCGCGTTCTGTCCAACCCTTGCGTGCTGTTTTCCTTGTCCATCTTCGTACTGCTGCTTGAAACCGTCTTGCGGTTGTCCTCTTTGTATTATTCCGGTTGCTTGCTCGCCTTGCACGTGTCGGTTGCATGCTACTGACAGCATGCTGCCAAGTCCAAGTCCGCAAATCTACCAAAAGAAAACAACCTTCACTCGTTCATCTTACCTCAGTTGGTTAGGGTTATATTCTTTGAAAGAGTCGACTAGTTTCGGCTTCGTGGCCTAAGTGCCGATGCTCCAAAAATCCTAGAGCTTACAAGGCATCCGGCTTGATTTCCACGTGGGGCTTTAAGGAGAGCATCAGCTCCTCCAACATTTTTCCTTTCTAAGACTCTATCCCTGAGGCGACGGAGATCGGGGCGAATTTCGGAAAGCCGAGGTGCAAGGGCTTAGAGGAGTCGAGCAGTTTCGGCAGTGAGGTTTGCATTTGCCAGATTAGGGCGCAGGCCATAGCAAACCCTAATACCCCCCTAAACCCTTGAAGCCAACCCCTCCTAACACTTCATACAACCCTATGGTTTAGGGTTTAGGGTTTATGGTGTATAAATCCCGATAAACGCCTAACTACCCCAAAAAACCCAGATGCAACAAGTCGAAGTACCGGAACCCTAAACCCTAAACCCTAAACCCTAAACTCTACACCGTACTAAGTACCGCTGCAAAGGCGCATACTGCGGCGGGCACAGACAATGGCCCTTGACCTTCATCTGGGGCTCCTGGCGCTAAGAACATTAGGTTTAGGGTTTAGGGTTTAGGGTTTAGGGTTTAGGGTTTAAGGTTTACAGCAAACCCCAGAAAGTTGGAACATGGATTCAGGATGATTAGTGCTAGGATCCCTTGTGCTCTACCTTAAGGGCACGAGGATAGTCACGTTCCAACTTTCTTGCTTCTACCATAGGTTTTGAGGTTTGGAGTTTAAGGTTGATAGGCTTTCAGTATCCTAGGTTTGGGGCTTAAGGCAAGGAGTTTAGTTTAGGGTGTCAGGGGGCATGAGTCGGGAGTTGCGGGCTATGGTCCAAAGCTTCCAAGACACTTTCGAATCCTTGATCATGAGCCCCGCTGTAGGACTTGCGGAAGTGAGGGTTTCAGGAAGGATTTCAGGGACGTGTAACATGCCAGACGGTCACTCTTGCAAATTAGAGACTACGAGCGCCCAGTTCATTATCATAGTAATGCCTCTATCAATCACCAGCAACACCGACAGTGATTATCACCCAAGCATTGCTATCCACGTGACGAATACGATTATTGACAGCACACCTTCTTCGAAGTATGAAAGCTACCATTGCGATGTCTATGCTCGTAATCGCTGCTATGAATCATGCTGCGGTCGCTGATAGTAAGCATTGTCACAATCACTGCTGCTAGTAGAATCTACAGGCTTGGTACCAGAAAAACCACTACCTGTAACAATGTCGCCATCACTGCTCTCACTACGTACTGCTCAGATTGACCCATGACCCTACACTTAAACCCCCAGATGGATTATCAATCCCAAACGTCCAACCCTAAATTCCTAAATATAGGGGCCTTAATAATTAGAACAGGGTTTTGGGGGCCCATTATACTATACGTATAAACATGAACCCCAAGAATAGCATAGGTAATTATCTAGGCCCCTATAGTATACCACAACGAAGAGTCCTTGCAAGTGCCCGCAGCAACCGGCTTGTCTGCGAGCCATGAATCCACGAAGCTGACCTTCACTTGTCTGCATGACGAAATTTACTCGGACGTTTGCAACTTCGGGACTGGTGAGTTTAGGGTTCTGATGATTTTTGTTTATGTGGCGTTTTGGGGTGGAATTGGGGGAGGGGGGGGAGGGCGCGCTTTGGACTGTAAGCCTATGGAAGGGGATGTTTCATTATACCTTGACCCTCTATTATGAGACGGAGGGTTTTGTATTTGGAGCGTAAGGACAATGTAGAGTTGAAGATTCTCCCTAAACTCACCATGCGAGATTTAGCTAAGGATCGGCTTGCTCTGGGCTTCAGGTGCTGACGGATTTAGGGCTTAGTACGTGGAATACAACTCTAAAGCC